ACAATTTATTCTATATTATTTTTTAGAGGGTGGCTCAGGCACTAAGTATCAGTTTGTCCACTGTTACCAGAATACAGCGCCGTTTATCATCTAATGATAATGTCCTAAGATCACCTGGAAAGAAGAGACCCAGAAAAAAGTCTAAGACAACAGATTTATCTGATGCAGTCAGGCATAATATACGAGATACAGTGTATCAAATGTATAGTGAAAGTAATGATAATGAGCGTGAGATGGTACATTCCAAATTATTGATTTTTTGTTTTGTTTCAGAGAAACATGTCACAATAGCAAATTTGAATAAAACGTTAAAGAGAAAGAGCTTGCTTCTATCAGCAATAGCTCTTTACAAAGAGTGCTGCCCACCATAGGCTTTAAATATAAAAAAGATGGTAATAGGAGATTTCTAGTTGAGCAATCCAGTATTGCTTTACTTCGCACCAAATTTTTGAGAAGTTATAATGACTATGTGAACACTTCCTCGCATCAAATTGTTTTCATGGATGAAACATGGATATTTTCAAAAGGCAGTCCAAAAAAGTCTTGGCAAGATGAGTCAATAAAAAGTGTAAGGAGACCATTGGGCTTTCAAGGAAAGCGATTTATTGTTGTCCATGCAGGGAGCGAAAAAGGTTTTGTTGATGGAGCAAGTCTGTTATTTTCCTCACAGTCCAAATCTGCAGATTACCATGGTGATATGAACGGCGAGACATTCATTAAGTGGTTAAAAGAAAAACTCCTCTGCAACTTGGAAGAGCCATCAGTGATAATTATGGATAATGCATCCTATCATAGCATTTTATTGGAAAAGACTCCAAACACAGGTTCTCCAAAAAAAGAGATTATTGACTGGCTGGTTAAAAATGAAATTGTGTTCCAACCAACATTAACTAAAGTGGAGTTATTGAATATAGTGAAAAGAAATCGTAAGGAAAAGAAGTATTTAATAGATGAAATCATAAGAAGTTATGGACATGAAGTTCTTCGTACCCCCCCATACCAGTGTGAATTTAATGCCATCGAGTTAATATGGGCCAATGCTAAGCAGTATTATGATAGACATATTGGAAGATGTGGTCATAGTGATGAAAATGTTTTAGCTATGTGGAATGAAGCTCTGTCACAAATTACACCAGAGGTTTGGAAAAGATGTGTGAAGCATACCCATGATGTAATTTTAGAGTGGTACAACAAAACTATTACTCGTGAAATAGAACCACTGATAATCTCATTTGATTCAGATAGCGATACTGAATCTGACAGTAGCGATTAATTTTTAATCTGAATTTGACCATAAGTAATGGAATAACATATTGAAATGTACAGTTTATTTTATTTGATATATGTTTTATATAATTTTGTAGCTTATGCTAAAATGAATAGTGGATGGCATGACATGAAATAGTACAAAAATATTTTCACTTTGGTATGCTTATTTGTGTTTGTATTTTTTTTTATAAAATAAAACCATGTTCTCAGAATCAATTGGTCGTTTTAATGGAGCTGATACCAATGTATTATTATGATTTTAGTAAGAACTCTAGGGACTCAACAATATTAGATGAAAAATAGGTTCAAAATACGTACTATTATTGTGAACAGAGGAAATGCTGTTTTTTTTAATAAATATGTAATTTTATTGCAAATAGAAGTCTTAAAATGTAATTTTGTGCACGGATAATGATAATTTAAAATCATGAAATAGAATAAATAAAAATAATCACTGAAATCAGCTAACTTCGATCACATGTTCCTGACATCGTAACCTTATCATCAACGTACGTCCGGTAATTATTTCGTTACAATTTATGGTATGACGTAATCGTCATCTTTCGTGATTTCGACTATATTAGTAAAATAAACACATGTATGTCTCATACAACTGTGTATAATTTCATTTAAGTTGGCTTACATTACTTACGACTAGGTAGCTGACTATTCCAAAATTATTAAAGTAACTCAACTCACTGAAAAGGTTGGCGATCACTGATATGAACAATACTGATATAAAATCTGATACCTTTTTTTTGATACTAACCCAAATAAATGAGGGGCTTTTGTATAATTTGCTAAAGGATCAACTAGTTAAAGACAATACAAGTTTTCGAAGAAGACAATAAATTTAACCTGTAGTTCCACCGTGGGTATCCAATATCGAAGTTCACGTTCACTGTCAGAATTGCATCACTATATTCAACAGTTGGCTGCAATATAGCCTTTACCGCTTCAGGCAACATTTTATTGCTTGCTTCAACATAAGCTATGAACAATATTCCTAACGAAACTAGATTCATCCTGAAAATGAGCACTTTCCATATCCAAACGGGATTTATATAGCTATATTATGGTGTTACAATCACAGTTATTACACAGCTATTAGGTCTTTGTCACATACCCACAAAGCTCGCACTCATCATTCACGGAAAAATAGGGGAATTCTTGATGTTTTGGATAACGCACGTATTTATTATGTTGAAGCGGATTTGAGAAACAATATATCAAAATACATGACATGCTGCTGTTACTTATATGTTTGGGTACCCGAAGTCGTCTAAGGTTTTAGTTTTCGACTCTCAGCAAACTTTACGAAGGAAGGAAAGAAGATGTTTGTTGAGAGAAATTCAGTGATGAAAGAGCTGGAATTAAAACATTTCAAGATATCAAGGTCATAACCCAAAAAATGTTCCCTTCAGAGATTTTGATTTGATTTGGAAAAATTTTATCGAGATTTCTAAAAGAAAAATGATATTGATTGGTCCCTTGATGCATAAATACATCAATTTGATATTCATTAACAGATAAGCTTTAACATGTCAGCTATGTGTTGATGTTGAGAATAATCTACCTATATTCTAAATACATTTCTTAATTATTTCTCATTTTGTGTTTGCTGAATACATATGGAATTGTAATTGATACTCAAAAAGTTCGACATTACTAATCTTGAGTAGGATTTCAAAAAGATCGCGTAAAGTAGATGGATTCTGCACCTTCCAGGCAATGCTGGCGCAAGAGTAGGGGTAGTATTCATATCAAGAAAAACTCATGAGTTGCTTTAGCTCTACAACTTTGACTACGAGGCTTGATAAAACACTTCAACCACACTACTCAAAAAAATTAAGGGAGCAAGGGAAAAATCCAAATTTTTCAATAATTTTGCCAGGCTTTATTTCGGTAAAAAATGGTCGTATCTAGACTTTAAAAAGGCATATAAAGGTTTAGTTCTTAGGTTTTTTAGCCAAAAAATTTTGAGAGATAGCGCAAGGAAAATTTGTTTGCAATATGTTTGCCTTTTTTTTAGTTCATAGGCTTGAACATTTGCTTATTCAGCTTCAGTATTCTGTTCTTAAAATCCCGATTCGATCATTTGGCGTGAAGATATCTGACTTTGAATGAAATAAGATCATTTTGTCATCGAGCACAGAGCTCTCTGTAACCAGTGATCCCACAGAGAATGTTTGGATATTTCCGAAAACTGGAATAAATCGCCTATAAGATTTGATTGCAATCCTTGAGGACATTTTTTTGGTCCTTAGTATTGATTTTAAAAGAGTCAAGAAAGATACTTTTTACATTGTTGTGGAAAATCGATCACATTTTTGGAACAGCAAAGCTATTTTTTCTGGTTTTTGTATACTTCAATGTATGTATGTATATCTAATAACCCTGAACGACGGTAGATCGATCCATTGTACGGTTTCTCGCGACCGATATTTTTGTTTTTTAAAATTCTCTTTGAATAAAGTAATAACATTTTTTCAACTGCTATTTTTGGAATTGAAGGTGTTACAGATATGCAATAGTGACACGAAGAGAAGAAAAATGATTTTCCAAGGTTACAAGATTTTGTGATATACAAATTTTGCTCCTTTGATTTTTTAAAATTGTGACCAGGGTTGTTAGAGGTACATTGAGGTATAAAAAAATTTAAAACTATACCATTCTCATTATCAGTTTCAAAAATGCCGTCGCTTTTTCAAAACAGGGCAAAAAGTAACTTTTTTGACTTTCTTGAAAGCAATACTAATGAAACAAAAAAAAATCCTCAAAGATTGCAATCAAATCTAGGAGGTTTATTCCGGTATTCGGAAATAGCCTTTTTTTCGCCCTATCTGTTAGAATTGCATAAGAGCCGTTGCTCCTAAAATTTTTCGGCTAATACCTAACAATTAGAACCTTAAATCTTGAAAATGCTTGTTTTGAGGTCTAGATATAATCATTTTTCACCGAAATACAACCTGTCATAAATTACTGAAAAATTTGATTTTTTTCTTGCTCCGTTATTTTTCTTGAGTAGTGTATTAGTTGCTGGATAATTTAACTTGATTCAGCTACGTATCGCTGAAGTTTTTGGTGTTTCATCTAAATTTAAGTATTCGTACATGTAACTTCTTCTTACTACTTGCAGCATTTGATATGGGAACTTTTATTCATACCATAAAGTTTGAATGTGGATGAGAAACCGAATCATCCTTGTTTGCTGAAGTATAAAGCACAGCACAGGTGCTGTAACATTTGCCCTGTGAAACAGCGAAACTGTAAAGTGTGTAAAACTGAGTCTGTGGATGAGCCCAGCTGTCACATAATTATTCAGGATTGAGTAGTACGTTGTTTGAGAGTGCTTCCTTAATTGTTTAGCAGCCTTATTTAGGCTGTAGTCGAATAGATTTACTTAGTACCAGATGCTGCCTATTTTAGTGCTATAGTAGATTGCAGCATTGATAAAACTAGTAATATAGCTTTCTTTCACCCAATCACAGAAGGCCAACCATGGACAGGTGTTTCGTGCTATTTGGCAACTCCGCAGCAGGTGTAGGATTGATCGGACAAGCAAAAGCAATACTACTAGTTTGTTCAATGGCGAGTAGATCATATCAACTATAGCACCAGAATCAGTGGTTTCTAGCGGCCACAGTGGTGGCCCAACTGACATTGCGAATTGAGGTATAGTCCAATCTCGCAGTAGATTTTGGCAATAAACGAACTAAACTACATTACGTCCTCACCCAAATCTGTTGGGCTGCTATAGATATATTTGTTTTGGGAAGGAACAACAAAGCAAAATCTCGACGATGCGTATATGTATGTACTGTATACAATTACCATGGTTAATAGTTACACACCCTCTATGATATCAATTAAGAAATGCCTCTATAATAAAAAACAACACTTAAAAAATGCCTATGAATATTTTAAAACAATCCATATCTCGATGCTTGCTGCGATGTGATATCTATATACTCAAATCTGGTCACCAGTAGGTCGAATCATCAGCTCGTGGATCTGAAATTGATTTTTGGTTCAGTAATTAGAACGAAGTAATAATATACAAATATAAACACTAGGAGATATAAAATATAACGAATTTCATCCTATATATGTAATGCCGGAAATATACTAAGTGACATATAAATCCGAACACCCAGTTTAAATGGTTTTATTTTAATAAAATTTTGTATAAGTACTTAATGAAGCATAATAAGTAAACGATAAAAATTTCAAAATGATTGCAGTGCTAATAATGTGTGGATGCACCCTGATGTGCTACGCATTCTCCAACGCGCCTAGGCATGCTTCTGATCAGGTGGTGATCAGGTGGTCAATGTCGTCCTGTGGTATCTCATTCCAGGCAACCTCCAACTCCTCTCGAAATGCTTCTAGAGTCTGAGGAGGACGTTGCAAATTGAGCAATCTCCTACCCATCATTTCCCACACGTGCTCAATTGGGGATAAGTCGGGAGATCTTGGTGGCCATGGTAACAATGTGACATCATTATGTTGAAAGAAGTCTATTGTGACTCTTGCAACATGTGGTCGGGCATTATCTTGTTGGAAAGTTGGATCTGCCAGGGTGTCAAGATAGGGTAAAAGATGGGGTTCTAGAACTTCGTGGATATAACGCTGCGCGTTCATGTTACCTCTGATGAAGGTTAAAGGTGACCTGGAACCATAAGCTATAGCACCCCAAACCATAACTCCAACAGTGTGATGAACATGTCTTTCTACAAAAAACTGTGGATTCCTCCTTTCACCACGTCGCCTTCTAACCCTGGCACGACCATCGAGAATCGAGACTCGTCACTAAAGACAATACTGTTCCATTCCTGATCCCAGAGTGACCGTTGTCTGCACCACTCAAGGCGATTACGTCGGTGTTCTCGAGTTAAAGGGAGGACCCAGTGTGACCGGTATGAAAACAAGCCAAAACTTCTCATTCGTCGGTAAACACTTCGCATGCCAATAGGTCTTCCGTGTTCTGCAAACCATTCATTTGAAATGGACCAGGTAGTGGAGAAACGGTCCCTTAAGGCCAATAATCTTAGGCGGCGATCTTCACGGTCTGTTGTTCTACGGCGGCGTCCAGTGCCCCTTGCTCTTTGCGTACGGCCTTCTCGAAGCCATGCCTGACAACACCTAACCACAGTCTCTACACTTTTTTGCACTCTAACTGCAATTGTCGGAAAAGAAAGTCCAGCTTCCCGAAGTCCCACTATACGGCCCCTATCAAACTCACTAGGTTGACGAAATCGTACAGGTCTCCGTACTCTAGGCATTGTAACCGATCATAAAGGATGTCAAGAACCAAAATCCGCCAACGTTGATTCTTTACTGCGGCTGAAATATTCATTTTTAGAGCGTTAGTGAATTAAAAAAAAGCAGTATAAAAACCGGAATGTCCAACTGATAAGGCTGAAAATTTTTTCTTTTGTTATTTACAGTAAGGTAAATACATTCACCAACTTTTATTAAAATAAAACCATTCAAACTGGGTGTTCGGATTTATATGTCAATTAGTATAGTTTTAGAGATTTACTAATTTTTGAGATTTTTTAGAAATCACCCGAAATTGTGCTTTAAAGTCCAAATAATTAAAAAAAAACTATATAAGGAGCTATGCATTGAGTACAGGTAAAACAATCGCCTATCAGGCTTCAGAAAATGCATTATACTTGAGCAATTTTGTAAACGTGTAGTAAACGCATTAAAACAACTGCGGGCCTACTTTACCACCAAGGCGACAAAAGCAAGGGCTAGAAAGTGAATACAAATCTCTATTCCAAACTAGGAGGTTAAAACTAAGAAAATATTTAAAAAATTTAATATACCTACTCATTCGAATTACTTATTGAAAATACCATTTAGTTAATGAACATTGTTATTTGACCTACATCGGTTTGATTGGCTGTTTGTTAGAAATTAAGCGCCTTCAGGCTAATTTTTGATTCCTCTTGATAAAGTCGTCTATACAGGCACGTCATTCTAGCAACTAGTCCGATAAATGCAAATTCTAGAAACCAGTACGATAAATACAAGAATATTTCAGAACTTGACAAAGTTTTGTTCTAAGTGAAGCTGAAAGTAAATACTTTTTTATTTTTTGGAATTCTGTTAATTTATTGTGTATTTTTGTACCTCTTATGGATTTATCACCTCAGTTAGCATACGAACTACAGGAATCAATCGAATTCTCACGTATTTCTTGTATAGTTTCTTTATAATTTCGGGTGAGCTAAGAATCACAAAAATTGAAAAATCTGAAAACTACTGTCATTCGGTCATACCTATATAGCGTAAAATTTGTTGTATTATCGGTCCCTCATCATTCCCTGGAAGAAATACGAAGAGTTACCAGTAACCCTCTCGATATAGGTGAATTATTGCTGAAACTAAAAAGCTTCAGTACCTCAGTGGATCTAGATTTACCGTCTAGGCGAGGTCGATGAACAGCCAAATGAACATAAGTAGTAAAAATTCTCAATGTTTATCATTTGGAATTCAAAATTACAACTTACTGCGTTAAAGCGTCTACTCTAGACTTAACATCCTCGGAATGAGATTTGGAGGCCCTGACTTTTTAAATGGAAAGTGTTTACTTGTGTCACTTGAAAGATATGTTTATTGTCTAGTCACCAATCAAGTTTTCCAATGTACTGCAGTATTACAAAACAAGTTAAAAAAAATGCATTTTAAGATCGGGTGATGCACTTTCACTATGTGCTTGTCAAGTTTAGGAAATATATTTTCTAAGCGTAAAATTGAGCATTTCAACTGTTCTCATTTGACTCATCCATATCGTATAGTTCATGACATCAAATTCTATTCAAACTTCACTTTCTCCACATATAAAAAACAAGTGTTCGATCACAGCTTCTTTTAGCCTGTTGCTACCTGTCTAGGCATTTGTGGCCTGCTGGCCAGTAGAAGCGCGAATTTTGAACGGGGCGTAAATGACATTAGATTACACTATAGGCATATTTACCTGCACTCGTGGAGGGGTTGAAAGTACATACTCTATAGCATCAGCTATATCTTCAGCTTGTAGATTTATGCTGATGTCTATCGATAGATCACTAGGTGCCCGAGCAAGTATCTCTGTCGCAACTACTCCAGGGCTTATGCTCTAAAACAAAACCACACATTCGATTGATTTTAGCGGCTATCAAAGCTTATAGACAGACCGAAGGACAAACTGAGAGATCAAGAATTCGCAAGCTATCCTCGATCAAATGAGATTAAGGGCTAGGGGATAATTACATAATAGGACCGCGTAATGTATGACTTGACCAAGCAACACGAAACTTTTTTGCAGGAGGATTAAAAACTTCAACAATACGGTAAAAATCACTGGGACTAATTTTTGTTATGTGAATAGTAAACTGGTGTTACAGATTTATGTATGATATCATTTTTTCAAAAATTCTTAAATCTGAAACCTAAAGATCTAAAATGAATGCTTAATTTTTCTCTTATTCAATGACCACAGTACATATATGTTATGCAAAATATGGATTTGTTTACAAAAAAAAATATTTAATTACATTTCAATTCATTAAAATGTACTGAAGTTGAAACATTTCCCAAACCAAGAAAATAACAGTTCTAATGTCAAAGCTTGTCCTCTCAAACTCAATTATGTACTCATTTAAAAACTAAATGAAACAAAGATAGCCACACAGATAGGAATCAAGAACCTGAATTGAATTATTTATGTTTAAATTCAAAATTTGGGTGATCATTGAACCCACTTGTATGTTACTCAATACTTGCATCGTCAACTAGTCGTAGATCCTTATAAGACTTGAAATTCCTGGGTACAAGACCTAGTAAATCTTCTAGCTTCTTTTCTGATACATGTTTTCCACTGTCCACAGACTGTCGGTTGCGTTTACTAAGTAATCCTTGAATCAGGGTACTCGATGATCTGTCCAATATTGATATCTTTAGAGTCAGCTTCAAAATCGGTTGATAAAAATACTGAAAGGCTTATCTTTAAACGTCTCAGGTTATCTAATTTTGAGCAAAGCTTTCACTCTTCGTCATACTGTGCTTTATAGAAAGATTCCCCTACTTAGTCTTTAGCGGTTGAAGCTAGCAAATTCCGGTAGGAATAATATATTTTAACGAAAAATAACAGTTGAAAATCTCACTACTCTCTGTAGCTTGCTCCTAAAATTATAGATTCATTTTGTCCTCTTACGTCAAATATTAGTTTACCAGTAAGTTGCAATATTAAAGCATCTTAAAGAGCGATCTGTTTAGTTTTTTCTAAACAGTTTAAAAAAGCAGCCACTGCACATACCGCTTTTTTGGACAGATCACTTTCTTCGCGTTTCCGTCTATGGTACAATTTTCATTAGGAGACTAACATCCAATTATACTAAGTGACATATAAATCCGAACACCCAGTTTAAATGGCTTTATTTTAATAAAATTTTGTATAAGTACTTAATGAAGCATAGTAAGTAAATGATAAAAATTTCAAAATGATTGCACTGCTTTAAAGCCCTTTGACCTTTAATAATGCGTGGATGCACCCTGATGTGCTACGCATTCTCCAACGCGCCTAGGCATGCTTCTGATCTGGTGGTCAATGTCCTCCTGTGGTATCTCATTCCAGGCAACCACCAACTCCTCTCGAAGTGCTTCTAGAGTCTGAGGAGGACGTTGCAAATTTAGCAATCTCCTACCCATCATATCCCACACGTGCTCAATTGGGGATAAGTCGGGAGATCTTGGTGGCCATGGTAACAATGTGACATAATTATGTTGAAATAAGTCTATTGTGACTCTTGCAACATGTGGTCGGGCATTATCTTGTTGGAAAGTTGGATCTGCCAGGGTCTCAAGATAGGGTAAAAGATGGGGTTCTAGAACTTCGTGGATATAACGCTGCGCGTTCATGTTACCTCTGATGAAGATTCAAGGTGACCTGGAACCATAAGCTATAGCACCCCAAACCATAACTCCAACAGTGTGATGAACATGTCTTTCAACAAAAAACTGTGGATTCCTCCTTTCACCACGTCGCCTTCTAACCCTGGCACGACCATCGTGCATGCCTAAACAAAATCGAGACTCGTCACTAAAGACAATACTGTTCCATTCCTGATCCCAGAGTGACCGTTGTCTGCACCACTCAACGCGATTACGTCGGTGTTCTCGAGGTAAAGGGAGGACCCAGTGTGGCCGGTATGAAAACAAGCCAAAACTTCTCATTCGTCGGTAAACACTTCGCATGCCAATAGGTCTTCCGTGTTCTGCAAACCATTCATTTGCAATGGACCTGGTAGTGGAGAAACGGTCCCTTAAGGCCAATAATCTTAGGCGGCGATCTTCACGGTCTGTTGTTCTACGGCGGCGTCCAGTGCCCCTTGCTCTTTGCGTACTCTAGGCATCGTAACCGATCGTAAAGGATGTCAAGAACCAAAATCCGCCAACGTTGATTCTTTACTGCGGCTGAAATATTCATTTTTAGAGCGTTAGTGAATTAAAAAAAAGCAGTATAAAAACCGGAATGTCCAACTGATAAGGCTGAAAATTTTTTCACTTGTTATTTACAGTAAGATAAATACATTCACCAACTTTTATTAAAATAAAACCGTTTAAACTGGGTGTTCGGATTTATATGTCACTTAGTATTATATGGAGTGTTGTGAAATGAATGAGCAATGTTATGTTTGACACTTAGCCTAAAATATTTTTGCTCTTGAGTTATGTTGTCTGCATTCTCTCATAAGTAAATTGAATCACTGCATATCAGATGGCAGCAAAATCTGAAAGTTTATCGCTTGGTCAAATTATTTACGCATAACGCAATCCAATTTACGAAAAACAATTCCAAATAATCAACTTTAAGTACTTCCTAAAGAATACAATAAAAGTGTTAAACTACTTTTATACCCCGGAACTTTCTGTGATGCTTTCACAACTTGTATCGAAATTTACTACTAAAGTAAAAACTAAATAAATCTAAGGCAACAAGATTTTTCTTTCAGGATCTTAAAGTTTAGTTTTGAAATTTTTGAAGCATCTTGATTACCGTGAACTTGATCTTTTTCTGCAACCTTCCCATCTCCTTTCTCATAGATTCTGTCAAACTTGTAACACAATGCTTGGTAGCAGTGTATATCTCCAGGTTAGGACCTGGCAGTATATAATGCCCTGCAATACTGTTTATGTTGATAATGTGACCTTCTAGATTATTATCCATCATGTCTTTTAATGCTTCCCTAGTGGCTGTACATAGCGCCACAACATTCACGTTGATGGTTTGTAGCCAATCTTCAGTTTTACCTAGACATAAATGACCTTTGAAGATTCCAAATATGTTTCAGTAAGAAATCAGCAGGTGTCTCATTTACTATAGTATCTACTAAGGAGAATGGCCAAAAAGTGACTTGAATCAATATTAGAACATGAAGAAATTCAAAAACCCATGAAAAATAGTACGTTGCTTCTCTGCAAAATAGAGACTCATACATGCATTGTAAAGGATGTCCCAAATTTCACGAAAAAATTGAATTAAGAAAAAACTTTCATTTTTAGATTGTTATATTTTTAATGATTCATAAAGTGCACACGATAGGGTTAAGAATAAATGAGCACGCCAGGCAGCTGACCTTCTAGGTATTATGGGCCATACGCATTACTTGGCCGATTATCTCATGACTAAGAAATATGATGGCATTGAATAAAACAATCTAGAAGGGCAGCTGTTATCATCGAAATCAAAAAGTATATATTAAATTGTTCTCAGGGTGTATGGCCTGTGCCGCTATTTTGCTGAAACCATACGTTATCCACATTGATATCAGGTAATTCAAATCCTGTGTGAATTTTGAGACATATCTATTGCAACGATTTTTCAAATCAACACTTCAAGGTCATCTTGAAATAGTAGCTTTGAATCGCACATGACTCATTTGGTTTGAGAACAACAAGTCAAGTCCTAACGCAATTTTTAGAGTCATGTGAAAGATATAAGGACTGAAGCGACTGTGCCATTTTTTATCATTTATGACGTACACGTTCCTAAAAATTGGTTCATCTTCAAACGAAATTTATTTGTCTGTATTTTCCAAAATCTGGAATACTGAGGTTATAGGAACAATATTACGCACATACAAAATATAACAAACAGCCTAAGCGATAAATAATATATTTGGCTCATTTACCCCCAATTATTGCAGAATTGCAAATAATACCAGCGTTGTTAATCAAAATCTGACATGGTCCCAAATTTTTCCTGGTCCAGTCAAACACGTTCAAGATATCCTGTTCTTTGGTAACGTCACCAGTCATAGGATGGAATTTGCCCTTTTTGCCTGTTAGTTTCTTCGCCAAAGCTTCTAGGCGATCTTTTCTTCTTGCTATACCCACTACCTACATCAATGAGATCCAGTAGATTTACTTAGTATTTCGAATGTATTAGCATAATTCTATATATTCGAAAAGCACAAAATACATCTCTGTTCCAAAAAAGGATCAGGCGTTAATTAAATGCTCTACTACTCGTAGATACAAACCGAGACTCAATATGAAGCTCGAATTAATTTACATATTATTCATTTTTCTGTAATCGTAACAATTTTCTCTGGTAACAAGTTAGCGTAATGTCTGGTTACAACTCGTGCTTTGAGAGAGGTCATAGATCATAGTCACACCAATATACAGTGTGTACCAGAACAAAGTTGAAAATTTTCCTTTATATAGAACACAGAAAGTATGCATCTGGTTCCTATGGAGAAATGTTATGCTGGGGCTACTGTACCGAAAGAATGGAACATAAAGGATGCTACAGGAAATCGTTTCTATTTTCAAATTTTGACAGCCTAGTAACTAGTTATGATAATGTCCATGGAAAACAGTCAGTTCAGTTCACCAGAGATGAGCTAACTTCAAAGCAATTTGGCTAAAAAATTTTACATCTTATGTAATCAAAACTAAAAGCTAAAGTCATTTATTTCCCATAATTATTATGCATAATCAACACCATGCTAGAAATTACCCACTGAAATCTTCAAAAAAGATTTGTGCGCAGGATACTTTTTAAATTTTCTTGTCCCACCAAAATAACATCATACACCAAACAATATGCAAGCAAATATGCAGAGTGTTCCTTAATGTTAGTTTGCTTTATAAACTATGGTCCAAAAATGTTTCCTTACAAAAACTAGGGGTGTTGAAGTTTTAGGAACAAAATGGAAATTAATTAATATTTTCAGAACCGCTTCATATATTTCACTGATATTTAATACGTAGTGGCAGTTAATGAAGTTATATATTTTTCAATGCAAAAATAATTTTTAGCTTTAGCAGTGCATGCGTACGGGTACTGACTTGAATATTTTTTAAGAAAAAAATGATACCCAATGGTTTTTTGCCGAATAAAAATTGTTTTTGAATCCCCCGTTTAATTTAAAACAAACGATCTCTCTTAAATTGTTTTCCTTAGATGCGCCATATTTGAGTAAAAAAATAAAAACCGTTCTATTGTTTAACTTGCAAAATTATTATTAATTTAATTGGAGAAATTAAACACATTAGGGGTAATGAACAACAACAACTGACAACATAAACATAACATTAAAACCAACAAAATGATTACAAAAGTTGTTGAAAATGGCCCCCTTCACTTAGTATTCATGCTTCTGAGCTCCTTCTCATGGAATTGCGCACTCTTTGAAATAACCGTGGAGTGTTTTTTTATTCTATCACAAGCTGCAACTATTCTTTCTCTTCATTCCTCTACAGTGTTAATGGGACTTGTGTACCTTAGTGTCTCAAGATAGCCCCACAAAGAGAAATCTAAACTGTTGAGGGCTGGGGACCTTGGTGGCTATTCTTGGGGCCCACCGCGGCCAATCCAACGATTCGGATAAACAGTTTGTAAACATTTTTTTTTATTGGCACTAGGATCTAGTCCCATTAGCCAGACACTTCATCTTTATTGAGAGCTATCGTGGTTATTTAAATGGAAGGAAACACAGAGTAGGCATGTGCAGACATTAAAGTCTTTCTAAGGGGTGGAAAAAAACTTCAGCTTTGGGGATACATAAAGCTTATACCTTGTGTACAACCCTAATATGAGGATCTGATAGGGACCCAAATTCTTCTCGCCCAGGGACCCGTCAGGGCATTTATTGGTAGACACACAATACATAGGCCACGGTAGGTAGGGATATAATAACAATTACGAACCGCTAAAATGAAATCATCAAGTAGCAAAGGCAACTGTTGTTGAAGAAAATTGAGATAAGTCTGTCCGTCAAGTCGTTCCGGCAAGAAGAACGGGCCAATAAAGTGGTTGCCAGTAATTCCTGCCCATACGTTAACGGAAAATTGGTTTTGGAAATGGGTTTCGGTTACGGCATAAGAATTTTGTTCTGCCCACAAATGTTTATTGTGGAAATTCTGAATAGCATTTCGAGAAAAATTAGCTTCGTCCGTGAACAGGGTCATTGATTCATATTGCGGATTTTATGTAATTTTTTGAAGATACCACTGACAAAAGGTCACACGCCTTGGAAAATCAATGGGAAGTAAAGCCTGTACTCTTAAAATATGGTAGGGATATAACAAAAAATCCACTAAAATTCTCCAAACAATTTGATGGCAAATATTTAAGTGTCTAGCGATCTTCCTCGTACTCGTTTCAGGATGTTCTTCGACTTCGTGCAGCACTGCTTCCTCAATTTCAGGTATTCTCACACTCAGAGGTCTACCTTCAGATGTTTCTTTTCGAACAGAACCAGTTTCAACAAGACGACGATGAATATTAGAAAAGGTTCGACTATCTGGCAAAGCACGATCGGGATATCTCTGGTGATAAATCCGTCTGGCTTGCCCACCATTACCGTCGGCAAGGCCATATACGTAATGCATTTACGCCATATCTGCATTTGAATAACTCACCAGTATTAACAAGATTGTAAAAACTAAATAATGAAAAAGATGTCACAGCGAACAGATTTGAATAACAGAGACTTGTCAGATGTCAAAAGCCAGTGACATATTCCGGAGCAACTAGATATTTATTGCTAAATTGCATTCTTTAATTATTACATTAATTTTCTTGGACAATAGAACGGTTTTTATTTCTTTACTAAAAAATGGCGCCTCGAAAAAAAAAATTCGCGAGAAAGCATTTGTCTTAAATTGAAGGGAGAATTCAAAAATATTTTTTTTTGGCAAAAAGATATCGAAGTCAATGTACGTACGCTACTGTTAAAGCTAAAAATTACTTTTGCATTGAAAAATATGCAACTTCATTAACTGCCACTACATATTAAATATCAGTGAAATATCTGAAGCGATTCAGAAAATATTAATTAATTTCCATTTTTTTCCTAAAACTTCAACACCTCAAGTTTTTGTAAGGAAACATTTTTGGGCCATAGTTTATAAAGAAAACTAACATTAATTTTTCATGTAGATGCACACCTTTAAATATTCGCACATCATTAAGGAACACCTTGTATATATATACTATTATTCCGCATAACCATAAAAATTAACGCATGAAGATAAAAGTGCTAATATTATGATGAAATAAAACAATGCTTAAAGTATAATATTTCAGTATATTAAAGAGATTTTACGCAACTCCCATTCCCATTATCCATTCTCCCAGCCTTTCTTCAAGATGATTAGAAAACAAAACATTTTCTATAGTATCAGGCAGTTCAAAGGGAATACGTGGTTCTGTAAAATGTGAGGCTCTTTGACCTAGTCTTTTTTTTGCTAATAAATATCTTTCTTTCCTAACTTGTGCCTTGTAGTGTAACAGTATTAATAATAATATTTTTGAAACGCTCAATACTTAACCTGAAAGAAAACTAATTTGGCACTGGATCCAGTATATCGGCTACGTCATTTACGAGCAGAGCTGCCCAAAAAGTGGGATTTAAAACTTTCAAAGTAGGCTTAAATTATTTTTTTATTATTCGTTTTTAATTCAGTATTCCTGGGAAAAAGACAAGCTCTTACTGACTAAGATTCAGAAGAAAAATAGAATAGCGTGGGTCAAAAAACATGAATTATGGTCCCCGAGCCAATGGAACTCCATTGTTTGGAGTGATGAAGCCAGATTTGAAATATACGTTGGTGATAGCAGGATTCGTGCCATAAGAAATGAAGAATGAGTATTTCAGAATGTCTGTCTTAAAAAAGAAGTTAAGTTTTCGGCTTCTGTTATGATTTGAGGATCCATGTCAGTAAGTGGAGTGTGAAACACTTTGTGAAAGGTATTATGAATGCTGATAAGTACATTAATGATCTTCAAAATAACTTAATACCCCAAATTTAACAAATACGTTTAAACAATATTGATCGTATCTTCCAACAAGATGGTGTGGCATGCCATATTGCTAAAAAAGTAAAAGACTTGATGTTAGAAAAAATATTTCAGTTTTAAAATGACGTCGTCCAGGTCTATCGCCGATTGAAACCTTGTGGCATATCATGAAGAAAAAGCTCCGATCGAATCCCGCAAGAACCGTTCCAGAATTGCAAACACGTCTCCAAGAAATCTGGAATAGTTTTACACCAGATGAATGCCAAACATTAGTTGACACTCTTTCAAGACGTATCCAAGCAATAATTAATAGGAAAGGCGATGTAACGCAGTGGTGATTTGCTGCTATTTGATTACGTTGATTTTTATTAATCGGTAGTTTTTTGAATTTGTAAAATATATTTTCTTAGTTACAAAAAAAAACAGTAGTATTCTGGGCTAATATTAAATAAAATTATAGTATGTTATGAGGAATACGTTTCCGCTAATATGACAAATTTCATATAAAACGTAGTTTCGATAGTTCAACTCTACTGAGACAGGGCTCGTAGTAGCATTCCCATCTTTTTTCAAAAAAGAAACCGGTTTATTTGATTTCTTAGGCTTACCTGCAAGCCATGTCCAACCAACTTTTCCGCAGTTGCAGCACCTATTCCCGAACTGGCTCCTGTTACAATTGCAACTTTGCCAAACCACCTATCGATCGATAGTACCATATTGACAGTTACAGGAAGCTTTTGTCACTATAAACAAACTTTGACGCCAATATTTCACTGCCGGCGCATAAAAAATAAAGTCGAGTGGAAGAGATACACTGAATCGATTTCCTACGTATGAACATTTATTGCGAAATGCGTAGTTCCGTGATTATATTCCATGCAAGGTCACTGCAATTTTCTGTAAGGATGCATTTCATAATTAGGATCAGTAAATTGATCACGACTAGAGGCTATACGCATGTCTTGTTTTGGATGTACATATTTATTAGGATGTTTACTTCATCGTTAAACAACAACTCAGTAACATGGTCTTATTGCTGAGAATGAGTGATTACATACCAAATTTTGTACGTCTCACTCAGGTGGCGTTCTGTCCTGATACGGGTTGAAACATAATATGAAATATCTAGAATCTCAGGAAAACTTGTGTATGCATGTGTGTATGGAAAAATTCTTCACCTAGATATACAAAAAATTTTGCTGTGACACTTTTACTTCTCATACCTACTGCCGGGGAAGTATTGCAGTCGCGAAAATTGTCGAAAATGAGAGACTATGATTTTCTTGATGTTATATGACATGTACAGGGTGTCCCATTTTCGATGATATTACGGGGCATCTCCTTTACGAGTAAATATAGTGAGTTGCGGTCTTCGAAATACTGTGCTACTTTTTTGTGAAAGAACAGATGGTTTGATTGAAATTTTCGAAGCCCCGTTCGAGTCTGTGATATAGGGCGAAATTGAAAATATTGCTTTTAGGGACCCCCCTCGTATTTATGTTATCCTTTAACATATCACATAGCTGGAAACTGGCGCTTACACAGTTTCTTAGAATAATTAGAAAATTCGTAATTTCACAAAATGTGTCACTATACGACACCCTTGGTAAGTATTCTATAAGGATTAGTAGGTTGTGATTAGTAGAACAATGGAATGATTATTTGCCCTTGTCAAATTTATATTTTTTGTGTAATATTATATTTTTTACGCTGGCTGAAAATGAAAATTATCAACATGTTGGAAAATATGACACATTAGGCTGCTAGAATTGCGAAAACCACAACTCTCTATCTTCACTAGTAGGTGAGATACCCCGTAATGTCATCGAAAATAGGACATCCTGTGCATCACGAAAAACCATGCCACTTATTTCTGTCGGTCTGTTCGTCTGTAGGTTTGTCGACCTGTCTGCTAATCTTGTATTGCTAATCTGTAATGCGACGATAGTTTCACGAAGATACTTGAAACTCTTCAAATTAGTAGGGTTCTTACTTCTAAATAACCACAACAAAATTGGAGTCGATGGGTCAAGTAGTTTTTGAGATATGCTGATTTTTTATCTCCTCCGTTTTTCGCATAAAAATAACAATTATCTTTCGGAATGGTTTGTGATTCATGTCGGCAAGATAAACTTGTGTATTTCGCTATAAAGTGCCATTTGAACGAACCATGTATATTGCTCAGTAATCTAGTTGTCATGACCGGAAGACAGGTTAAGATAAATAACTAGAAATTCTCAAAGACTACTTGACCATTCGACTTCAATTTTGTTGTGGTTATTTAGAAGTATGAAGCCTACGGTTTTAAAGAATTTCATGTAGCTGCGTGATTTTATCGTCGCATTAGCAAGATGAGCTATAACCTGCATTCTGCCTCGGTTTTCGGACATAACTTTTTTGCTATTAGTCGGATCTTTTTACATGTAGTCTCATTCTGTAATTCTCATAAATACCTAAAAATCTTATTTAAAGTGTTTTTTGATTCCTGACAACACTTTTGACTAAATCCCAAATGACATGTTTTCTCATTCTTTCTTGTCGAATAAAAGGTTTTCCCACAAAAATGAGTGTACCCATTTTATGCGTTCATGTTTTAAATACCCCCTTGAACAACTTGCATCAATAATACCAGACTTTACACAATTATTTCGGTTAAATTTACTAATATGATTAGACTAACAACTCATTATTGGGGTCGCCCATAGCATATAAACTAGTCTGTCATGAATGGTCATCACACGACATTATATTTTATACAATACATTTATTACACTATATATATATATATATATATTTTATAATATACATTTGTGTACATACAGAAAACTAGTCAGCTTCATAAATATTTTGTATTTTTTTCATGAAAGCGCCAAGCTTTTGGTTGGTTCAATAATGGCGTCAAAAATGTTGAAAGGTTACTGAATTAAATATCTTCGAACAAGTATTTTGTGTTAATGTATTTATTTTATGTTGCGTTTGGAGATATTGCAAACTATGAAACAGAACTTGATTCAAACTGTTTGATAAGTCTTACATTGATAACGGCATAACGTTGGACGTAACAGAATATTTATAGGTACCTATTAGTCCACTTTGGGCCATTTTTGAATGTCATATATTTACTTAGATGCTTCTTGTTATATGTTGTGCTTTACAGAATAAAAGTGGATGGAAGCGTGGAAACTGTATGTTTCAATAACTAATTCCTATAACGGATATATTTTCAAAGTTAGCATAATTAACAACACCCTGTTTACATTTGTTTATAAATATAATGCAATCTGCGGATAACGGAGGGGGCAAGCATCACTGATCAGAATCCTGTAAAAAATCCCCAGTTTTTCGAACTGCTCTGTTGCTCTTCCAAAAACGTTGAATCCGCGAATAAAGGTAAGGTCTCAGGTGTCTTTCAACTAGCGTACAATAGTGACGCTGAAGTACTCAAAAATAAAATCATCAACCAAAATCCTGATCTGACGAAAAATAGTGACGCCTTTAGCTTCAAAATCGTTTATAAATATCCAATAAAGAAGGATACCTTTGATATTATCGCGGAGTTAGGCCCGTTTTCCTATCATACATTGATGAGACGAGGAATGCTAAATATTGGTTGGACCAGATGTCGTGTATACGAGCATCTTTCCGTATTGCGCTGTTACAGATGCTACGAATATGGACATATACAAAAGAACTGCACTAATTCGATTTCATATCCGCTTTGCGCTGGCAATCATGAGAACAAACAATGCAAAAGCAATATTTTAAACTGTAAAAACTGCGTGTCTATAAAAGATAAATTCAAAAAGTCGTTGATACCAACCATGTAGTATGGGATAACAAATGTTCTTGCCTTCAAAAAGCGGAAAGTATTATTCGTAGTAAAACTTATTACTCTTTTTAACTTATCATATTAGTTACTTTCTTCGTAACATTTCATAGTTTATTTACACTTTTATCCCATACAACTAGTTTTTATTGCAGTTTCTCTACTGTACTTTATTAAACTACTTCTACTACTAGACACTACTGTACTTTTTTATATATCTTATTTGTGATTGAAAATTTCATAATGACGTTGCTGTCTGAATATGATATCGTAAACGGTGTTTGAATGTCAGATCGTTAACTAGCTCGTTCGCTGATATCCGAGATTACATACTAACACAACATTTTGAAATTATTGGCTTAACAGAGACCTGGCTGAAACCTAGCGTTGATAGTAGCAATGTTCACATTCCTGGATATCAATTTTTTAGATCAGACAGGTTTGGCAAAAGAGGTGGAGGGGTTGCTATGTATGTGAAGACATTTGTTGTTCAGAGATTCATCATCTCAGTACTGAGGAAGATGCCACATTAGAACAACTTTGGATAAAAGTTAAAGTCAACAAACAGAACTTTACAGTCGGTGTTGTTTATAAGCCGCCTAATGTTGATTATCGCACTTTAGCAAATTTGGAAGAAACCCTCACCGATTTTTATGCCGAATCTGCTAATGTAATATGCATGGGAGATTTTAATGTCAATTTTTTTAGCAATAGCGGACCAGAATACGTATTTTTATCAAACATGTTGAAAGACTTGCGTATGCAGTAGGTTATCGAGCAAGAAACTAGAGTCTTTGGTAATAGTCGTAGCCTGATTGACCTTGTCCTTGTAAGCAATAATGTTAATATTACAAAAACTGGAACCATAAACCTTCCTTCTATATTAGATTACATTTTTATTTACTTCTGTGTAGAGTGTCTGCAATCCACCACTTCTACTAAATATGATTTTAAACGTGATTTACAAAACATGGATAAAGTTCTGCTAGTTGAAGTTGCTTCTGTGTTATATTGGCTGGGAGTGGTTCACCTTGGCGATATTGACCTAAAAGTTCAATACTTCAATGATCTAATTCAATGTGTACTTGATATATGTGCCCCTTATAAAACGAGAAAGATCAGTAAAGTTCGTCTTCCCTGGATTACGTCAAACATCAAATTTATGATAAAATTTATGATACGGTTAAGGAACAAAGCTTATTCAAGGTACAAAAAAGTCGTAAAAAGCATGTGTTCTTCAGATGGAATTAATAACAAGTGGATATATTATAAACAGCTACGAAACCTGGTAATTGCTTGGAATTCATGGGACACATAGCAATGATGAATTTGTAAATTCAATCGGAGGGGATTCATTAAATGACTTTTTCGTAAATTATCTACACAATAGTATCCCTACTGTTATTGAACCGTTCAAGCTTCACCTTGTTACTGAAGAAAAAATTTTTAATGAAATCAAGTCGCACGCAACAGACCTTGATGGGCTTAATATTGATATATTTTCATACGTTCTACCTTTTTGTGTGAAAGCTCTAACGTACATTATTAATTTTTCGCTAGAATGTGGATGCGTACCAAAAAAATGGAAAGCAGCTAGAGTGAGACCAATACCTAAAAATGATAATCCACAAACTCCACGAGACTATAAACCTATTAGTGTTCTACCGCTTTTATCTAAAGTACTTGAGAGAATTGTTCATGAACAAGTGTTAGCTTATATTGAAAGAAATAAGTTAATCCCGAATAGACAATCAGAATTCCGAAAAAACCACAGCACTGTTACAGTTTTAACTAATATTTGCGACGACTATCTGAGCGCTATTGATGGTTCTTGTGTAACAACAGCCGTTTTTATTGATTTAAGTAAAGCATTTGACTGTTTGAATCATAGAATGCTTCTAGCAAAGTTACATTACTTTGGATTTTCTCATGAATCAGTTACCTGGTTCCAGAGCTATCTAACTGGACGCGTACAGAGGGTCAAAGTTGGGCATTGTTTTTCTGATGAAAAGTAACTGGCTAAAGGTGTCAATTTTGGGCCCAATTTTATTCACGTTGTATGTCTCAGACCCAGTTAACTCCATCAAATTCTGTCGTGTGCACTCATATGCTGATGATACTCAGATTTACCTTTCATTCGCTCCCTCTGCGTATATCGAAGCAAGCAGAATGTTAGCTGCCGATTTAAACAACTTATGTAACTGGTTCGAGAACCACGGCCTATACATTAATTCGAAAAAGTCTGCTTTACGTTCAAATCCAAACATAGTGGACAGTACGCAATTTGGGGATCAATGATGAATATCTAACGTTTTACGATCATGTCACAAAAATCGTTCAGAACTCTTACGCGAAACTCAAAACACAGTTATAAATCTGTTCTACCACAAAAAACGAAAATTAGACTCTCTGACTCTCTGACTTTGAGTAAACTGCAATATGGTGATTCGGTTTTCGGTCCATGCCTGACACAGGCTGAGACGTACAGGACTCAAAAGGTTCAAAATAGTTGTGTTCGGTATTCTCTAGGTGTAGCGAGAAGAGAGAGAATTTCTAATCATTTAAGAGAAATAAATTGGCTTACGATGCGGCAGAGATGGATGGTTCACTTAATGACACTGGTCCACCCTACACTGATGACAAGAACGCCAATATATCTTAATAGTAAGCTTAGCTGTGAACAGCATTGCGTTAACCTACGATTTGTGGGTTACACCCTGGACATACCGTATCATAAAACTACTCAATGTAGGAAGTCATTTTCTTATATCGCACCCAATTTATATACGTTACAATAGATTGCCATCAAGTGTAAAAGCACTTTCCAAATTTAGTTTCGCAAAGAAGGTCAAGCAATTCGTTTTGGATAACATTGTTTCAATCTTTGAATAAATTTTAAGTGTCTTTGTTGTATCAGGCTGTTAATGTGTATCTTGTACTAACTTATTCATCCTTTTTTGTATCGAGCTTTCTTTCAATGTGTTTAGTGAGTGCCTTGTCAGTTTGTGTTCGTGAATTTACATTTTCTTTTAATCTGCTTTTTAATTTGTTTTTTCAATAAAACTGTACTGTATTTTTTGTGTAGCCCTGGTTGGTGGTAAGAGCAGCTTCATAGCTGATACACGCCAGGTAAAATAAAGGCCTATTATTATTATTATTATTATCATTATTATCTGTAGTGTAGCTAATAATCTGTTGTGTTATCTATAACTGTTCAGCTTCAACTATATATTTTCATCTTTTATGCTCAATTCTATCCAGAGGAGGGCTGTCTGACTAATCGATGACTCTTCTCTGAAAGACAGTCTCGGGTCCCTTTCGCACCGGCGGGAGGTCGGCGATCTGGCTCTCTTCTACCGCTACACTAACGGGCTTTTCTCCTCAGAGCTCTCCTCCATGACGCCGCCGCACGGTGTGCCTGTCAGACAGACCCGCCTGACTTCGGCATCCCATCTTAACCGTGTCGAGCTTCGTACGTCCAGAACTGGTCGATACGACCGCTCCTCATTATTCAGAGTTTCGAGATTGTGGAACAGTCTAGAAGAGGAAACTGCTTCCAGTTCTACTACCCTTAAGCAGTTCATAAATCGGATTAACAAAATTTCTTTGCCATTTAGGCTTCGAGGTGGCAATTTTTTTCTTATAACAATTTTCGTTCTGATACTTACTTAGCCTCATCCGGTGTTCCGCAAGGTTCAAATTTGGGTACTTTGCTGTTCTTGCTATTCAT